CTGGCGCTGCGGCTCTCCGCCCAGCAGCAGCAGCAAATGGTTCGAGTGAACTGCAGAGCAAATGAACTTTGCTTTGAATTACTTGTCTTTCATTCAAATGATCGGACTCAGAGGCAGCAAGCAGCAAACGCGAAGCCAAAGCCAACTTGAACCCAAACTCCCGCGACACCCAAAAGGCCGTTTCCCGTGCTCAGACCTTCCCTTCGCCGCCCAGCAGCTCTGCAGCACAACCCCCCAAAACGCTTCCCCCCGCCGTCCGCCGCCGCTGCTGCTGCCGCTGCTGCTGCCGCTGCTGCCGCCGCTGCTGCTGCTGCTGCTAGGCCTCGTTTTTGGCGAGTCTGGCGGCCTTGGTCCTGGGGTCTCTGCCGTCTGCAGCGCGGAGCTCCTCCGCCTCCGCAGCGCCTCGCTTGTCTGCGAGGAATCTTTTTCTGAAGTCCACGGCGCCCCCGTAGTGCGGCTGCTCCAGCGAAGTCCAGTAGGCCCCCAGCAGCTCCCCCATGGCCCGCCACTGCAGCAACTTGCACTGCAGCGTGCTGCGCACCATTTCCAGCGACTCCAGCGGCGCCGCGCACACGCAGGCGAGCACCTGCACGCAGAGGCTTGCGCTGAAGTTGCTGCCTCTGCTGCAGCCGCTGCGGGGCGCTAGTGCTGCAGCTGTTGCGCGTTGCCAAGTGCTGCTTGTGCTGCAGCTGCTGCAGCTGCTGCAGCTGCTGCGCGGTGCACTCTGGTGTTCCGCTGCTTACGTCACCTATTGTGGCATAGTGGCAGTTCTGCTGCTTGCAGGTACTGATTCTGCTGCTTACAGTGTGGGCGTTACGTGTTTATTGGCATTTTGTTGCTTTTGTTATGGCCATTGTGTTGTTATCTACTGCAGCTGTTATGTATGTGGTAGGTGTTACAAGTTGTGTACAGAGGGGGCAACGGAAGTGAAGACATGCACAAGTCCGGGAACGGCAGTGTACGCGAGGAGGGAAGCAAGGCAACAAAGAGTGGCAGTTTGAACGGCAAAGAAAGCGAAAAGCACTTAACAACGAGCACTAAATGAACGCGAATTTAAACAAGGAAACGCAGAACTCTTCAACTAACAGCAGGACCTTCTGGCCTCCCCAGCCCTAAAAACTGAACAGACAAAACAAACACCAAAATGCACAGGAAACAACTAGAGGAGAAAGGAAGTGAAGGGAAATGGCACTTGTTCAGTGTTGGGCCCGAAGATCCGCCGCAGGCAAGAAAGGTGAATCTGCTTGAAGACGGAGGGCCGGACTGTGCAGAGCCTGCGCTGCGCCGCGGGGAAACGCGCGAGCGCCTTTCCAATTTGCTCCACTCTTTTCAAACAAGACTCCAGCGAGGAGACGCGCAAGTCCCATTCGTAGCGCGAGTCCGCGAGGTTCAGCAGCGCCTCTTCGTGGCGGTTCATGTACCGCGCCTGGCTCTCCGAGCTGTCCGGGAACAGCGCCCACCTGCGTCTCCCCACGAAGCAGAACATTTTCAAATTTAAAAGCAAAAACGAAAGAGAAACAACGCGGAAGCAAGCGGCGAACGGCCAGCTCAGCCGCTCCGCGAAACTGCGGGCCAGCAGCTGCCAGCAGCGCAGCGCGGGATCAGCGCCGCGCGCGTGCAACTTGCACGCCAAAAGCGGCAGTTCTCATCCATTTGCTTCAACCTCTCCGGGAAAAACGGAAAGATCGCGGCCCAAGTGGCCGCTGCACCGCGCACTGCCCACCTGTCGTTCAGCACTTGCCACGCCAGCCCGTCTCTGCCGCTGCACGCCGACGCCGGCCACTCTTCCGGCAACTTCCTGTAGGAGCCGTTTCGGGGCAAAGCGTCGTATTGCTGGCGAGTCAAAGGCGGCCGCGAGGGCCCCCCGGCCTTCTGCGCCTCCAGCACCACCACCAGCCGCCGCAGCGCCTCCCGCCCGCGCGCCGAGCCCGCAGCGGCCGCCTCCAGCGCAGAAAAAGCCTAAGTGCATCAGTGCAGACACAACGTGCAACTTTCTTGCAAGTACACTCGCAGAGTGGGAGGCGGACAGCGGCGGCCGCACCCGCTTTCGCCAACACGGGCACCCTCGCCGCCACACGCGCTCCACGACTTTCACTCTTCAGTCTGGATTTCGCAAACTGAGAATGTTGTAAACAACAATTCAGACGCTCACGTCATCTTTGAAAAGCCTCCCTGCGTTCCAGTCATCCAGCACTCCGTAGAGCGGCTGCAGCCACTTGTAGCTCATGAGCTGAATCATCAGCTCCTGGCTGCGGAAGCGGCAGGGCGATATATTTCGAGACAACAAATCGGCAGCAGCTGCTGCTAGAGTCTTCACTTCTTCAGAAAAATCCTTTTCTTCCTTTGCAGACAAAGAAGAATCACAATCGGTGGAGTTTCCAGTGCCGTTCACTAACTGCTCGCAAAAGGAGAATTCAAGAAAACGACTTCACCACTTTTCCGCTGCCCAACGCGCATGCATTCGTGCTAAGGAGTCTTTGCAAAGAAAGGCTGCGTGTATGTGTCTACATTTGAAGGTGCATTTATGTATTTATTTATTAACACATATATTCCCGACTGCATATATGCAGACAGGCACACGTGCACAAAAAGCATGCGTGTGAGCTTATGCCTGTGAAATAGGCATATAACTATGCATTTTTCTATCAGTATAAACACGCAAATATATATATGAACGCTCAAAACACAAATATGAGTAATATTATATCTTCCAATGCCAGCCACAAACACTGTGCAAACTTGAACTGGAATCCATAGCTGCAAACGGCAGCGGCTCGCCAGTGCTACGTAGCAGCAAAAGGAGACAACTATTTCAAATTTAATGCGTTCCTGAATTGCCATTTTAATTTTTGTGTTATTTTGAAGCGAAACAGGACAAACGAATGCGGCGGAATAACCGTTTCAAAACCTGAAAAGTGTTGCAAGAACTCACCGCGGCAGCACTCGAGTCTGTAGTTGGCGTTTCAGTTTTGACGTGCGCAAGTCCATTGGCGTTCATTATCAGATCACTTTTGCTTTCTTGATTCAAATTAATTGCGTTATCTGCTGAGTCGCCAGTGAGTGGGTCTACTTCACTGGCTGCGGCGCGTTCCTGAGCCTTCTCCGGCTTCGTCTTCTGCTCGCCTTCCTCCTCTTCCTTCAGCCTGCTGGCTCCAATATCGCGAAACAGCCTCAGCAACACTCCCAGCTTTTCAGTGCAGTCAGGATAGCGGGAAAGAAGAGATGCAATTCGCTGCATTGCGAGGGAAGAGGAGATTTCGCCCTTCTCGGCTCTCGCAATCAAGTGGTCCACTTCGAGCCGCAAAGTGACAGACTGATTCAAAACTCCGTTTAAAAACAAGTCGCATAAATGGCGCAGCGAAACGCGATAGTCTTGACAAGCTGCAGCTGAAAGCAGAGCGAAACAAACACCAGCAAAGCCGCACTCTCCAGCTGAAACCTGAAGCTGCTGCTTTCACTTTGAGAACAGCCACTAAAGGAATACTGCTTTCTGCAATGAACCCGCCAAAGAAACAGGGGAAGCAGCAGAAAGGCTCTGAGCTGCTCTAGGGCAGCCTGTTTCCATTTGCCTCTTGCAAGGGCAGGCGACTTGCCATTTCTCGCGGCGAGGAGCTTCACGAGGTGTTCTATTTCCTTTCCCGTTTGGAAATCTTCCTTTTGAATGGTCAAAACGAGGCGCTTGATGTCGCCGGCGACGTGAAACCAAGAGGGAAAGGCCGCGAAAGCGAGGTCGAGCTCGTCGCTCAGCGACGCAAACGCCAGCCTTTTCGACAGAAACATTCGAACTAAATGAAGAACTGTAGACGCAAGGGCTCTTGCGCGCTCGACGCAGCCGCCTGAAAGCCCAACTTGGTAAGCCAGGCGATACACGGAGTGAACCTGAGCAGCAACAGCAAAGCCACCAGCAGCAGCAGCACGTCGCCGGCCCTGTCCCAACCCAGCCAGCAGCAGCAGCAGCAGGGATTGGACAAATGCGCAAGTGCTAGTGAAGAACGCCCGGCAACTTGGGCGGGAAGTGGCGAAGCAGACCTGAACGGGCTCGTCGTCGAATGGCTTCGTCAGTTCAAGAGCTTGATCTTTCCGTATGACTCCGTCGTTCTTCTCGATGCAGAACTGCTGCACCAAGAGTTTCCTTATGGCGCGAATTACGAGGGGGTGGCCTCTGAACAAAAGCTGCATGCGGTGCAGCAAAATGTCGCGGCTTCCGCGCTGTGTCTTCTGGGCCATGCAGCTCTTGAGAATGCTGTTGAAGATCGCGTACTTCTCGGGCGCCATGTTCTGAATAAGAATGCACATGGCTGCAGCGGGGTTGCCCGCGTGAATCAAAGTTCGGTCGGGAAAGAAGAGAGACATGCACAGCGACACATCCGGCGCGTCCGGAAACGAATGGCCAATCAGGAAAGCGAGCTCTTCCACCCGCAGTCGCTGGCGCTTGACCTGATCCAGCACGCGTCGGAGGCAAACCAGACTCTGCGGCCCCCCGGCAAAGCGTTTCGTCAAGTAAGCCTCGAGTTCGCTCCACATCAAGTGGAAGTCGTCGCTCGTCGCTTGGTCGGGACTGGCTGCTTGCGGAGGCCCCTGAGCCCCTTCCGCGCTCACGGGAGGCGAATCATCTCTGCACGGCAAAGACTGCGGCGAAGCAGCCAAATCGTCGGAAGGAGGAGAGCTGGAAGACAACGGCTCGCTCGGTGCAGCCTGCTTTTCCGCGGCTGGAGTTTCCATTTTCTCCCTGCTGCTCAGGCCTTGCATCCGGACACAGCAACCATCACCCGCGAAGTCTTGGACCCTCAACAGTGGTAAATAAGGCTTTCGTCAGCTCCCAAAGACCCGCTACTACGGCGTTGTGCGCTCACAGGCAAACTGTGCGGCGCTTTTGCCCCAGACAGCCGCTGGCACGACGCGACAGTGGCAGGCGACTACTGATGAGCGATGCGGCTTCGACGCGCGCGAATCCACCGCCTTAGCCCGACTCCCTTCAGCCTCTTAGCTCACTAGAATAAACACAGCATGATGAAAGAATGCCAAATTCGACGCCCATTGATTTTCACGAGTCAGACAGCATCCTTCCAGATCCTGGAGCATTAGTGAGGGAAACCAGTTCTCGGGAGAAGAGCCGCAAAAATCTGCATTCCACGTGTTTACGAGACGCAAATGAGCATAAGAAGATAAAATATCGAGCTAGACGTAGAACAATGGAGAATCCTACACGGGTGTGGTGTGACCTAGCGCCGAGCCCCACCAGGAGCGCTGGGGGTGATTGAGAACCACAGCCTACAGCAACGGAGCCAAATGATGTAAGTAAAAGCTGCTTTGGCGATTCTTTACTCGTATTTTCTGTAAGACGTGGAGATTGAGGGAATCGGCGTCCCTGGGCGGCTAAATGTTTATCCTGAGTCAAACGAACCGGGGAGGCCCTGTGCAAGCAAGCTGCCTCGAAACGGCTCACGTACAAGCCCGTAGATTACAGGATGGTTCAAACGTTGCAAAAATTAATTGTTGAATTTTCAAAGCTTGCCGACTCAGCAGGCGAACAGCTACCGTTTGAACCAGTATTACTCAACCAACCAAGTGGTGTGCCGACGCTATGTGAGGCTCAGGCAGGATGCGCCAACTGCACGAGCATGTTTAACATATTGGACGTAATGTCATAGCGACGTAGCCCTGAGCCGACAGAGGTCCTAAAGTATCGTTTCAATCTAATTATGTGCTGACTAGACTTGTGGAGGCAGCAGAGCTAATGCGTATTTAAGTTGAGTTTGGAACCTTCAGAGACAAACATAAGTCATTAGGACTTTCTTTTTCTTCAAGAAACTTCGGATTGTAGGAGACTTTCACAATCCCGACATTCTGCAGTCTAACTTCACAGACGGCAGTACTTGGTCCTTCTGATTCTCGAACATGGGGAGTCGATTAGTCGTGCAAGTTCATCGAGAAGAACTGTTTTAGCTTATTCAGCTTACTAGCACTTTCAAATGAATTACTATCTGAATTGGCAAATAGAAGTGGCGATTTGATGTTGGATCATCATCACAGGACTGGCGATACAGCAGTGCGAACTGGCGTGCCCTTCAGGTGTATGTACGGTGAAGCTGGAACACTCGCAAACCAGCTGACCAACAACATTCGCAAATTCTCGTATTTGGGAAAACATTTTAGCCATCTGCCTGTGGTATTCAAATATATTCCAAGTAACCATGAGGCAATTCATCCCCATCGTCTGCTTCTCCCTTCTGGGCGCCAGTGCTGAGCCCTTCGCGGCGAACAGCCCAGTCTGCGATGTTGCCGTCGAAACTGCACTGTGCCTGCACAATGCGGAGAAGATTTTGATGCCTGATGCTCGCCCATATGGTAAGAGTAGCAGCAACCTCTTGAAGCCACGCAGCATCATTCTGTAATTCAATTTGTTCTTTAGGCATGGAGGTTCACCTGACCTTCGACGAGTCCCGCCCTCTTGACACGAGTGGCAAAAAGAATCACGGATCCGGCGAAGTTATGGCTGCAGCTGGCATTGGTGGCGTTGGAAGCTCTGGCTTGTTCCGCAACAACTATGTGTATGTCCCAAGCTCGGAGAGCTTCAAGTCTGCTGACTTCTCATACACCTTCTTCGTGTATCTTCTTGAGGATGCCAAATCGAGGTTAGTTTCAATTCAAGCATTTTTCAACATAGAGAACGGAAACAAATTCCATGTAACAGATCCATCAACGACTTGCATGACCAGTTCTGCCCCATCATGCACAAGGGAACCATGCGTGAGGACGTTCAGGAGGCCTCCCCAGCCCTCCTTGTGAACCCTCGTGTAAGTAATCTTTGTTCCTTATTCTTCTGAGACCTTCTATATCGAACGCTCAACAGGATGGACGTGTCAAAGTCGTCCTCGGCACTACTGGCAGCGCAGCACGTAGGGCTCAAAAACTCAGCACAATCCAAACAGCAAAGACTATATCGACCTTCAGCTGGCAATGAGATGCAAAGCAACTCAAGACTTCGCCCTCATCAGTGGTATCACCTTGGCGGTAAGCGAGTCGAGATTACCACTGCACATCTTCGGAAACCTATGGCCTGTCTTCATAGTTGTGCGCCATCAAAACCGGATGAGGCTCTATGTTGACGGAATCCTCGATTCTTCTCTCGTCACTGAGGGCTCCACCAAGACCAATGACCTCCCTCTTTTCGTCGGTGGTGCCCCGTACGCCGAGAACGTCTGTGACATGCCAATGCTTCTTGACGAGTTCCGCATGTTCTCATACGTAGGTGTCATTGTTCGATTTTGACACAGAGAATAGAGACAAATGCGTCGCTTTCAGGCTGTTGGCCGTGACCACATACAAGCCGAGGCTTCCGTTGCACTAGGTGGCATTGAGCCCTCATACCTTCACATCGGTTGCACCAACTGCAAGTGAGTATTATCGTAGCTTTCAGCAATCCTATACGGTCCTTACTCCCGACTTCAGCAAGGACGAGGCTGCTGAGTCTTGTGCTGATGGCTATCATCTATGCAGTAAGCTTATTCTGCTAGCATCTCACATTGCTGAGATTCTAATTTCATGTTTCATCAGCCAAGCTAGAACTCTACAACGGTGGATTCCACGTAGCTCGGAAGCTCTCTCTCGGCACAGCGCTTGTTTCCGCCGGATCCGCGACCCCAGCGAGGGGCGCCGGCCTGTGCTGCACAGATGCATAAGCTATAACTACTCGTTGTTGAGTTTTCCAACTTTAATGTTTTTTCATGCTGCATCGCGGCTTTGTTGACATGAGCGTTCCGTTGTCGTTTGGATACGTGCTGGATCTAGTCCGAGGCAAATAGTTAATCAATGTCAAGTATCCTTACATTAATACTTTAGCTTTATGGCGGTAGGTATAATTTGTGCAGCATGGTTGCAGGTCACTGCGTCGGGTGCCAGTAGCAGGAATGCAGGGGGTCACCTCTTTGAAAGTTAAATAACAGCAGACAGAAACATTTATTGCACTGATAAAATACTTTGTTCTTTTCCATTGCCGGGACCCTTAAATTCTTTGGCATCACTCCTTTCTGCACAATTCAGATCATCGCGGCGGGTGGTGGCTTCGCTCGAGCCCGATGAGCCGAAAATGCAGGCAGAGTACAAATATCTTCATCCGGACGCAAACGCTTACAGAATTCACCTGTATGGCTTTTTTTGATAATTTTCTTTCTTTTATGCATAATTATTCAGGGATCATTTGCTCCCAACTTCGTTTCACCGGGGCTTCCGGCATTTGGACCCTTTTCTTTGACATTCTTTCAACAAAACGATTCCCCGAATATAACCTATTTTTTTATTTAAATCACGTTCCTTACGTTATTTAGTCGGTTAGACGTGGAACAGTTTCCATCTTGGCCATGATTTTAAGACAGAGAAGAACGATTTTGTGTGCAGGGCATGAATCATGACGATCAACACACCTGTATCTGCAGTGACATGTGGGGTTGGGACTGTAGGCACGTTACAAAGTACAGATCATCCGGACGCTAAGGATAGCCTTGATGCTGAGTGTCCAGCCGTGCCGTCTGAAGATAGAATACTTGACTTTCTGACATTTCTTGATCAAACGGCATCGAACTCCCTAGCTTGTGAAGCGCAAAGCCTACGACAAACGCATCCCTCTGTCGATTCGACAAGAAATGCAAACCTGCTGTCCAGAATATCGACTCTGGAAGTCGAGCTCGAGGACAAGGAACACAACCTCAAAGCCTTACGGGAGCTTCGTGACAGAGAGAAACTTCAAGGAGAACGGCTTCGTAGGCAGTTACAGTTACAGCTGCAGGAAGAATTGACGAGGACAACTGTAGGCAGATGGAAATTTTGCTCCTTGGCTTTCCAGTAGAATAGCGTTATGTTGCGAATGATATTGCAAGACGAATTGGCTGTCCAATTCAGCTCGAAATAAACCGGTACTAGCAAAGAACAGCACGACACAACCCATTAGTCTCTGAAAAAGGTGGAGAGTCGCGCACCGGAACATTCCGATGGTGATCTCCGCAGGAAAAGTACGAGCGACAGTCCGCAAGGCAACAGGAATTGTTGTGTCAGCTACAGGATGAAAAGAAAGAGATGGCTTCTCGCTATCAACGTCTCGCAGATGAGATGCGCGAGCTTGGGAGAAGATTTAGTGCTAAAACTGCAGAACTGCACAAACAGTACGGAAAGGAACTGGAGCGTCAAAGGAAAGCTTTTCTCTCCGGTGAAAAGGTGAGCCCAACTACGGTGGGACTCCTTCTCCTGTCTAAGTGGCGTCTGTGGCGGCCAGTCGTAGACTTTTCCCCACTGCAAAAGCTCATGCGCTTGTTGGGCAAATGGCATTTCGGAAAAACTTCAGGCCCGCCGGGACGCGTGGGAGCGCGACCGGGCTCAGGAGATAAAAGAAATAACAATAAAGGGTCTGGAGCCTGAAATCCAGAGGCTGCTGGACAAACACAGAAATGAGAAGCGTTGTCTAGAGGAGAAGATGAAAAAAGTAGCAAATGACGTGGGTCGCGTTAGTTCTGCACTGGGCCTTCGTCTCACAGCTCCACATTTGAAACGTTCACATTTTCTCCCACGTCGACTCAAAAGTGAACAAACCCGTTTCTCTGACGCTGCTTTTGAAACGCCTCAGATGAAAAGCCAGCTGGAACAAGAGCTGGCCTCGCAGAAGGCGCTAGTGGCGAGGCAAATGGAGGAGGCGTTTGAGGCTGAGCGAAGCCAACACAGACAGGAAGTTCGGGAGATGCAAGAACGTTTCGAGGCCGAAGTGAGGGGACAGAGGAACTTGAAAAGAAGCCATAGTGCGGAAATTAGCGCCATAAAGGCATATTAATTATTTAGTTCCTCCAGCTGCTCCTTCTTTGATGCAACAGACATGATTTTAGTTCATCCAGCTGCTCTTTCTTTGGTACAACGGACTTGCTCACTCTGTCGCTGCGTAGATGTGTTAACGCAAACAGATGAGGAGAGAAAAGGAACTTTTAGTGGCAAAACATCGAGAAGAAGCGGCGAAGTGGGAGTCGGAGATAAAAAACGGCAAGAAGTCTCTCCAGGGCGAAATCACGTTCGTCACGAATTTCATCTTTTCCCTGGAAAGCTGCATTTTCAGCAAGAGGCACTAAAGACAGCACTGTTTACAGAACTTAAAAGGAACAAATTGAGGACTTTTTAATTGTTTTTGGCCTCCATTTGAGCTCAGAAAAGCGCGAGAACAGGAGCAGCAGCGCTGCAAGGAAGTGGCGAACCAGTTCGTGGCGGAAATGGAACGCCTGCGGCAAAGCCACGCAGCCGAAGTTCGGCAGGCGGAGGATTCTGCAAAGGCGAAAGAAAAAGAACTTCTGATCAAAATGGAAGCCGCCAAAGCTGCAGCCGTTAAAGAGGCAGTGGAAACGGCGAAAAAAGAAATGGAGGCGGAGTGCCACAAGTGAGTCATCAGCGCAGAAACGGGAGCGGAAACGCCTGCAGCCAGAGTGTGGAGGTCAGGGTTTGAACAAAAAGAGCAAAACACTGGCGTGTGGGCGGAAAGAAACAAAGCTGAATTTAATTTATTTACGTTGTTTTCGACTTTTGGCCTGAAGTGGCCGTTGAGCTGCCGGCTGCCGCGGGGAGTTCCTTAAACCCGTTTATGTGTTTGAGCTTTGGGGGACGAAGACGCGCGCTGGGGTCTAACTACTCGGTCTTATTTCTATACAAATGGCTTTGTTTTGTTTTTACTTAATCAAATAGGAAAATAAAACATTTGCTGGAGCGGCTGAGTGAAGAGCAAGTGGAGGCGCAGAGCCGCCTGGAAGGCCAGTGCAACGAAGCCCTTGCTGCTGCTCAGGCCAATTTCGAGAAGACCAAACAAGAATTGGCGAACGAAAAAGACAAGTTGGAAGCAGAATTAAAAGTACGCCAATATTCAGCTGCAAGAGCCTCACAAGCTTTCATTTTTCTTTTAAATTGAGTTTCCGTGACCTAGATCAAGTGCAGTTCAGTCTTGAACGGAAAGCACTTAGGCGCAGCTGCAACTGCTTCTGAACATGCAAGAATACGCGACTTTAGGGCATTTACTTTCCCTTGTGTTGGTGGAAAAAGACTATTTCAATAGAGCTATGATAAGTAGTTTTAAAACTGAGACAAATGAGGCTGTGATGGGCACTTTTTCAAAACTGAGACAAAAGTTGCACTCATCAGTTTCATGGCTGCGTTCGCGTGGAGGCTGCAAACGAAAAGCGTCTGAGTTTGGAGATATATATTTCTCGTTTGGAAACCGAAGCGGAACTGAAAGACAAAATGCAGAAGGAGCTGCAGACTGCACTTGACGAAGTCAGCGGCAAGGCGCAGGTGAGGTTCCTGAAAGCCAAAGTGAAGGTGAAGTCGGAGTTGCTGCACAAGAAAGCCCTTCAAATAGTGCTTTTGCTGCTTGAGCGGATTAAGTTGGTTCATTTAAAACAAAAATTGCATTAAAATTGAACTTTAGATGCGTGGATTCCTCTGATTCCCTTCGCACAACACCAGGCGCTGGAAAGCGAACGGGAAAGGAAAAACGAGAAGCTCCAGACGGAGTGGGAGATCAACAAGCAAAAGTTCGAAGTAAAACACTGAAATAAACGGAAAATGTAGATTTAGATGGGAAATTCGAAGTAAAAGAAATAGAAAAGAATAAAAAGGGGCAAAACTGTCTTAAAACACAATCGGCAACCGGCTTCTGTCTTCTCAGGAGCAGTGCCAGCGACTGGAGACGCAGCGCCAAACCCTGGACGACTTGAGCAGCAAACTGGCGGCAGCAAACGAACAAATAAAAGAAATGAAAATAAAAGAAAACAACAGAATGGAAAAAGTCGAAATTAAAGTGAGAGAAACAATAAAGGCCAAAGATCAGACAATTCAAAGCCTCAAAGACGAACTCGCCGCCAGCAACACGAAAGTAAGTAGCGGGCCAACAGGCAAGCAACTTGACACATTAATTATAAACAACTTTCAAATTGTTTTAAAAATAAATTTTAAAGATTAAATTCTTGTTGATATCCTTCTCGACTGGCAAATGGAAAGGCGAAAGACAAAGACGAAACAACAGCGAGCCACCTTCTTGCAAATAAAAGAACAAAGCTAATATGAAGTCAATTGCTGCTATTTCAGTGTGTTATTCGAATATATTCATGTGAAGTACAATTTTATTTTTAAAATTAAAAGATGCGCGCTCTTCATGGCAATCTTTGCTCGTAAACAACTTTTGGTTTTCAATTAAGCCACGTGCGTTTTCTCGAACATCTAATTTAGATTTACCTTTTAAGTTAAAACTTGCCGGCTTATTTAAGCCTCTTGATTTGTAAGCTTCTGAATTTGTAATTTACCTTTTATTTTTGAATTTCAAACAGCATTATTTCCATGGGCTGCTCATCACTTCAGTCGGCTTGCTACCTGCTTTCGTCTTCCGCATTTCAATGCGCGCATTTGACCGATCAGCTTCCCGGCAAACGGCCCCGCCTTTGTTGAAATTTCGGAAGATTTTAAATAAATAAATTATTTTTCTTTAAACTTTTTCAATTGGCGCCTTCAGGTGGAGCATTTGCGGAACTTGATGAGTCGGCACCGCCTGGAGCTGATGAAAGGCATTTCCTCTTCAGATTACTTCCCGGCGGACTCCGTCGAGTCCACTGCAGCCTCTTTGCTGCCGCCAATAACTAAAGACAAAACTCCAGATTTAGTCAGCAACAACAGCAACTATTTAACTCCAAGCTCCCGGCTAAAGCGAGGAACAGTCACAGAACGAAAGGCAGCAACGAGAGTTCACACGAAACTCAAAAACGCGTTCGATACGAGCCTTAGCAAAAGGGAAACAAAAGACTAACTTGAAATGCTTCGACTCAGCTTTTTAATTTGTTTTTTTGTTTTGCTTCTAGTTTTCTGATGCGTTAATTCTACTAATTTGCTAATTGGTTGCTATCTGCATCGCGTTCATGAACAAGTTAGGCTGTGCAGGGAAAGACTGGGCGCTTAACCTCAACCTGACATGCATAAAAAGAGAAATAAAATATACCAAAGTAAATTTTACGGCTTATTGAGATGAATTTATCAAAACAGGCTTGGACTGGCTGGAACAGACCTTAGGTCCAAGCCCAAATCACCTCCTCTTGCAGAACATTCAAGTTGCAAAACTTGTGAACTGAGGAGAAACCTCAGTTATAAATTCGCTAATTCGGAACGCAGCAAAGAGGAGCTACAAATTAGTTGTTTGTGAATTCAATTCGTATTCAATCTATTTCCACTCTGTGCTGAACACCTTGAAATCCACTTTCTCACTTTGCAAATAAGAAGACTTCGAAGTCTCAAAGCGAATGCTGCTCCACTCGCTGCGTCGAATTTACCGAGTTAATGCCATTTATTTGCTTAAAGTTAATCTCAGCCAAAATGATAGGATCAGCTGAACAAACAAAAGCTGAAATAAATTTAATATCAAGTCTCTCCCTAGCTTCAGCTGCCACCCGGCAAGGCAATGCACAACTCCATGTACGCGAAACAGAGTTGGAAAGTTTGTTGTATTTGTATTTGTATTTAATTTCATTAATTGGTTTGTTTCGGTAATTTCATTTTTTGTTCCGTTCAAGTAGTTGTTCGAGCTAGTTCAACTAACGCAAAGACTGCCTTTTCCTTTTCAGGCCTTTTCGGGCTTCCTGGCTGACTTATCTAATCACTTTTTGACAAAATCAAATAGCGCTGAGTGCTGCCGCTTCTTCTGCATTGAATGTTTTATTTTATTAAACTACTTATCTAAGCTCCATGCAAAAAAGAAGTGAATAAGCGAAAGTTCGCTTTGAGAGGCAACAGCGTTTCTTTGAGGAATCTAGGGCTTCTGCCGTCTCCAAGAAGCCACTACTGCGCAAATATAAACCCAATGGCTTCTATAAAAGTGATTTGGGTCTTAATGAGTTCAAAAGATTCACCTGAGTTGATCCATTGCAAGGCCACACATGCACGCTGGGCAGAATCCAGCGCCGACCGGCGCGCCTTCTTCCTTCATTTGTCGATATTGTCCACAAATAAGCATTTAAAAGTCATTATAGATTAACAAAACAACAATTTAACTTCGGATTCAACTTCGGATTCGCATTTTATTTGCGTTTTCTGGTCTCATTCGTCGAGATCGCCCCAGCTCGGCCCGGTCTTCACGACCACGGCCAGCGGCACGGAGAGCTTCATTGCGCTTTCCATTTCGCGTTTCAAAATGAATTTGACTCTTTCTTTTTCTTCGTTGCGGCACTCGACGATGATCTCGTCGTGTAGGGAAAGCAGCAGGCGGGGTCGCGCGCAGAAGTTGCTGAGCGCCCAGAATGTTGAACACTCCGGAAACAGGCTTTTAAATCCGAAACTCGGGGAATTTGCAATTAGAACTCCAATCTGGTGGATATTTTCCATTTAAAAGTCCCCAAAACCCCGCAAAAAGCCCCGCGGAAACCTCCCTTTCCACCCCGTTCAACTTCACTCACCTCGCCTGGAAAGCCCGCTGGACCCGCAGCATCGCCCGCTTTATTACGTCACTCGCGCTCCCCTGAATTATGTAATTCACCGCCTGCCGCTGCAAAGAAGAACTTTCCCGCAAATCCGCACCCACGCGGCGACGGCGGCCTGAACACCCACAAACCCTAAACCCTAAACCCTAAACCCTAAACCCTAAACCCTGAACCCGAAACCCGGAACCCGAAGCGCGAAACCCGGAACCTGGAACCCGGAAGCTTAAACCCTAAACCCAAAACCCTAAAGCTAAACCTTAAACCTTAAACCCTGAGGCCTAAATCCGAAACTCTAAACCCTAAACCCTAAACCCTAGAGCCAGACCTGCGAGGGTGGTGAGGAATCCGTGTTTTCTCGCGTTTTGAATGGCGTCTTTTGCGAATTTTGAAACTTCTGGAAAAGAAGAAGAAAATTGCTGGCGAATCTTTTGGGCTTCTTCGGGCCCCACGGAAAGCTGCTGGCAAATTGGCTGCAGCCCGCCGCCGTACAGCAGCGAGAGGCAAACCACTTTGGCCTGCAGCAAACTGGAAAAGAAGTTTTAATTTGTTTTAATAATTGTTTTAATTAATTAAAATTGCAAATTCAATCTTTTCGTTTTTGTTGACGCCAAGTGCCAAGTGCTGCGCACTCGCCAGTGCAGCGACAGCTGAAAATCAAATGGTCACCACAGATGCGAAAAACCCTAGCGCCTTAACCCTAAACCCTAAACCCTAAACCTTAAACCCTAACCCCTAAACCCTAAACCCCAAACCCTGAAGGGGAAGTTATTGCATCATCAGCGCACCGAACTGCCCACAGCCAGAAACCAAACCCTGAACCCCAAGGCTTAAACCCTAAACCCCAAACCCTAAACCCTAAACCCTAAACCCTAGTGCTGACGCTGTTTCTGAGTTGAGGCGTAACCTGCTCGACCTGGACTTTGGTGAATTCTGCTGCCATTTCTTTGTAGACGTCTTTTTCCCTTTTTGCAAAAAGCCCACTCAAGCGTCCAGGGCCGCAAAAATGCGCCTGCACAAGCGAAAACCCTAAACCCTAAACCCTAAACCCTAAACCCTAAACCCTAAACCCTAAACCCTAAACTATGCCCTAAACCCCAATCCCTGAACCCCAAACCCTAAACCCTAGATTGTGGTTCATGTAGGTGCATGGTTGCTCGGAAGGGAGTGAATGTGTGCCCTTGGCAGCAAAGAGCAGAAGTGAGCTGGGACCCGCAAGCCCTAAACCCTTAACCCTAAACCCTAAACCCCAAACTCTAGACCCCAGGGCCAGGCTGCAGGCGCTGCGAGCCTGACCAAAACCCTCATTTCGATTTGCGCGAAGTCCGCGGAAACGAGAACCTCCGTTTTAGGGTTTGTGGGAACAAAAGCTGTTCTGCATCGCAGCTTCAGGTCTACCGCGGGGGCCCCCGGCGCTGAGGTGTACGTACACCCCGCTGGGGTGTACGTACACCCCCCTGAGGTGTACGTACACCTCAAAGTCAAAAGAGCTTCTCTCGGAACTGTTTGCAAATTGCAGTTGCAAGAAGATAAACGTCCTGTCACCGTTCGGGTTTGGTTCCACCGACAGTAAACCCTTGCCACCGCAAGCCGCAAACCCTAAACCCTAAACCCTAAACCCTAGACCCCAAACCCTAAACCCGAGGCGGACTGCTCAAGCTACACAAACGCGGCACGCAGTCTTTTGGGCGAAGTGTCCACGGCATAGGGTTCAGCGCTCAGCTCTTCGGGCTTAAAATTTAGGGTTTAGAGTTTA